ATGCACCAGGCGTATAACGCAGGTCGAGGGAGCTGTAAAGGCGATCTGTAATCGTCTAGCGGTTGCTGAAATGGACGATCGTACGAGCAAGGATCTCGGTAATGCATCTTCGTCTGCTTAACATTCAGACTGTCTCTGAGTCTTTTTTAGGGCAACTAGTGAATCTGATACTTTCATGACTGCCACAAAATTCCAGCCGTGGTTGGGGTTCGTGCCGATAGATTAGGGAGCGTCGAAACAGACTCTGGCAAACCTTGACAGCGCCAGGCATGCTAGAAGACCGGACTAAGCGTACCATTGCCAGTCCATCCAGCGGGTAATGCAGAAGGACAGTACATCATGCGAAACGGCATGGATAAAAGGAATAATAAATAGCGGCGCGCACCAGGGTAGCCGGCGAGATCATGCGTTTTGCGCATTTCCGTCTAGCGGACATTTGCTTACTAAAAATATAACCGTTTCACACTTCTGTATATGGAAAATAGTAGATATGCTGTCTCGCTCCTAAGGTGAGGAATTTCCCACTAGAAATTTCATATGCCGGTACGTGAAAGCTGAATTTGAAAACATGGATGAGGAACATCCTTCCAAATTTCAACCTTCAAATTTTCCGGCTTGCGAGCTGGTGATTTTCTCATCACAATTCTCACGTGGTCTTACGTAAGACCTCTGCAAGCTTGGAAGATAAATTTGAGCTTGTGAGATACCTGCAGCGGCAGAAAATATCGTCCTGGAATTTCAGCTTCCTAGCTTTCATGGTTCCCGAGATAATTTCCCTCCAAAACTTTCACGGGGCTGTATACGATACCGAAGCGTGCGGGAAAATTGAATTTAAATTTCCCGGTTCGCCCGTGGTCAAGGGGCATACCCATAAAATTTCAACTCCTTAGCCTCCGCGATTCCTGAGATAATAATTTTATCCGCCAGAACTTTTGCGAGGCCGTACGTGTTACCCGCAGGCACGGGAAGGTTGAATTTAAGTTCTCTTGGTCGCACGTGGGCAGGGAACATCTCCACAAAACCTCAAGTTCCCAGTTTTCGTAGTTCCCGAAATAATAATTCTCCCCTCCAAAACTTTTACGGGGCCATAGTACTACCTGCGAGCGAGGGAAGATTAAATTTAAATTTTCTGAGTCCTACGTGGTCAGGGGATATACCCCACGAAATTTTACTTTCCTAGTCTCCCTGGTTCACGAGATAATGAGATAATGATTTTACCTGCCGAAGCTTTTATGGGGCCGTACGTGTTATCCGCTGGTACGGGAAGGCTGGATTTAAATTTGCGGTGTCACACGTTGGCGGAGAACATTGTACTGAAATTTGAGCTACCTAGCTTTTGTGGTTCCCAAGTTAAAAGTGCAGGAAAAAATGTAATACACTCACACAGGCAACCCCTTGACAGTTTGCGTTTTTTATTGCTGTTACACAGCACAAAACACATAAAAACGAATCTCAGCACTCTTCTGGCTGATTTTTTGTTTGACACGTTATCTTTCTGACTTATCATAGATTTCAACACTGCGTCTCTGCTACCGGCTGTTGCTGGAGCGGAGAAGTAGGGAACGGCGTATTGTTCGAAAACGTGGGGGTAACATGGTGTTCCTGCACCGATTTTCCAAAGTCGTTGCGCCGTTTTGAAAGTTTTCGGAATTGTTAATTTTTGCTTTTGAATTGCATCACTTTGTGTGAGAAAATGTGTCTTCCCGGAAGCGCTGGTTAAATTTTGAGCGGCAACTGCTCTTTATGCGTTTTTTGTAGCAATGCAATGCGAAAGACGCATATTGACGAGAGGTTGTCTGTATGTGTGTGTGTTTGTGTGTGTGTGTGTTTGTGTGCGTTGGGCCTCTGTACCGGTTTTTCATCTCGAGACCGGCAAAAGCTACGGGGCTGAAACTTTGGGGACGTAATCTACATACACGTACGGACCCCCATCCACAAAATTGGCGCCAAAACCTGCGTGGTACCCGCGTGCGGGCCCCCCAAAGTTTTTTTGGGGTCGGATCATAACTCGAGGATCTGAGAAGCTAGAAGGCTGAAATCTTGGGGTAATGTTCCCCGCCCAAGC